CCATTACTTAACCTACTAAAGAAAAGCACTTGTTGGGATCAGTGAGACCCCAGATCCTTAATTTCTTGTAATCCCCTGATCTGAGTGCCTACAGCTGCTCTGAGCACGAGACCTTCAGGAGTTCCTGATGGCAGGAGAGTGGTTTCTGGTGGGTTTGGCTGGGGCGTGGCTATCTCTATATGATCTGCCCTGAACACATAAAGGGGGCATTGTTGGGGAATTCAAGGATGACCCATGTCACTGTCTCTGTGTGTGTGTGTCTGTGTATTTTAACCTCCAGCCCCTTGCCCGAAGCTCGCGAACTGGGTGTCAGGGCACAGAGCGCAGACACAGGGGAGTGGTGCGCGGCAAGCACTGATTCCTCTTAAGAACCTAATGACCTCATAAGGGTCCCAGCACCTTTCAGTGCAATGTAGGAATCAAATTCCAATACAGGATAAACCCTATTCAAGTCATATAGCACACCCCAACCAAAAATGGAGCAAATAGCTAGGTTGGGGGTGCACACCTTTAATCCCAGGACTCGGGAGTCAGAGGCAGGCAGCTCTCTATGAGTTCTAAAGTTTGAGGCCAGCCTGGTCTGCATAGCAAATTCCAGGACAGTCATATCTACGTAGCGAGACCTTGATTCCAAAAACAAAAGCAAACAGAAAAACCCACCAAAACAAGTAATATGCAAATTTAAGAAAATATGTGTATGATAGAAAAATGAAAAGATGGCCAATAGCATTAGTCACTAGTAAAATGCAAAGTTTAAACGTCAATGAGCTATTTCACACCAAGTGGAATAACTGTAACAAGTCAAACAGTAGCGGGTGTCAGTAAGGAAACGGAGAAAAATGTTGGTGGGGATATAAACTAGTACAACCATTTTGGAAAAGTTTGTCAGTCTCTCAAAAAGTTAAAAAATAAAGCTATGATAGGAACCAGCAATTCTACTCCTAATTACCTATTCAAGATTAAAAAAAAAAAGTGTCCCCATCCTTAAGATTTGGATATGAAGATATGAATTGTTCCCCCAAAGTCTCTAGTTGGTGGCACTATGAAGGGGAACGGTCTATGAGGACTCTGTCTTCAATGACAGACTACCCCTTGCTGTGCTCACAGCATGAGGGCCTGACGGGGTGGTAAGAGAAAATAGGAGGTGGCCTGTGCTTCATGCTTCCTACGCTCCCTGTCCTGTGTTCTGCCTCATCACAGCACAGATCAAGGAAGGACGCACTGAAAGCTCTCAAATGTGGATGAACTGTATCTTTCTTCCCTTCGGTTGTTTCCCAAGTGTTTTCTCAGGGAAACAACACACGTCCACACACAGACTGCCCGTGACTGCTCATGGACGTACTATTTGTAAAAGCCTTTAATGTAAAGACAATGTCCAGCAGCTAGTGAATGTGTGGAAAGGAGGGCGGTGCCACATACATACAACGGGAGACTACTCAACAATAAAAGGAACCAATTAGTGAGGCTATGCTAGGTATGACCCTCAAAAACATTGCTCAAAAAGCTAGACATAAGAGGATCCACACTCAGCAGGGTGGTGGTAGCACATGTCTTTAATCCCAGGACTCGGGAGGCAGAGGCTGGCAGATCTCTGTAAATTCAAGGCCAGCCTGATCTATAGGTGGAGTTCTAGGACAGGCTCCAAAGCTACACAGAAAAACCCTGTCTCAAAAACCAAAAAAAAAAAAGAAAAAAGAAAAGAAAAAAAAGACTCAATAGAAAACCCAATTCTTAGTTTCCAGAAAAGACATTTTATACATACTAGCCATAGATTAGTGGTATCCAGGGTTATGGGTGGGAATGGGTTTAACTGCAAAAGGGCAAAATTGATGTTCTACAGCTAAGCTACAATGACAGTTGTTGTACTTGGTAAAATTACTAAAAAAAACTGTTTAACTGTACACTATGCACTTCAACTGTATGCTGTATACTAGCATTCAGTGACTTTATGCTATGTAAAGCATACCTCAATAATGTTTTAATATATACATGTATGTGTGTGTATATACACACATATATATACATTCATGCCTTGGCTAGGGGAGGCGCTCATGAAGGTGCACTCCTGGCAGAGAAGCTACTAGAAGCTGACAGCTGCTCATGGGGCTGGAGGTTGGAGACTAGCTTTCTTCAGATGTGACCCCTAATAGGTTGCCCACGTTCCAGTGGTTGGCCCTATACTCACACACAGTCTGGCGGCACCATGTGGGCTCAGGGGTTGAAAAGGAGTACATGAAGTTGAAGGGGAGAGAGTTGGGATGGATTTGACTAAAAGCACATTATATAGAAGTACAAGACTGTCGAATGACAAGTAAAATGTACTTTTTAGATGCTCACACTTTGTTTCACCTGTCCCTTAAATTAACTGAACAACTGTAGTTGTACTGATTACAAACCACACGTCTGAGTTTAACGTCCGTCATAAATCACCCTGACTAAAAGCAACATAGTGGGGAAAGGGTTATGTTTTAACTCAAAATTCCAAGCTCTGTCCATTTCAGAGACGTCAAGGAAAGAACTTGAAGCAGCCACATCCGCAGTCAAGAGCTGAGAGAAAATACATGCATGCATGTTTGTTCATGCCTGGGCCTCTCTCTACACTTCTACATCCAGGACCCAAACTCAGGGAATGGTGCTGCGCAGAATGGGTGGGTCTTCTCACTTCAGTTAATATAACCAAGACAATTCCCCACAGACATGCCCACAAGCTACCCTGATCTAAGTGATCCTTCATTAAGATTCCCTTCCTAGAAGAGTTTACCTCGTGTGACTCTGACAATTAAAGGTAATTTATCACGCTGGGTGATAAAGGCACACACCAGGTGATAGTGGCACAGGCCTTTAATCCTAGCACTCGGGAGACAGAGGCAGGCAGATCTCAGCGAGTTTGAGGTCTACAAAGAAAAACCCTGCCGGGCGTTGGTGGCGCACGCCTTTAATCCCAGCACTCGGGAGGCAGAGACAGGCGGATCTCTGTGAGTTCGAGACCAGCCTAGTCTACAGAGCTAGTTCCAGGACAGGCTCCAAAGCCACAGAGAAACCCTGTCTCGAAAAACCAAAAAAAAAAAAACAAAAAACAAAGAAAAACCCTGTCTCAAAAAACCAAAAAAAAAAAAAAAAAAAAAAAAAGCTCTTTAGGGACAATCAAATAATGCAGGAAAGTTCCAGCCACACTCATTTTTCTCAGAAATCAAAGGTTCCTTCTGTTACATTTATATTTTAGGAAGCTGGTGCTCAGAAGCAGATAGAGAACATAACCTAAATAGATTTAAATTATCCTTTGACGATGGGCTGAGCCAACAAAAGCACTTAACAGAATTTGAGAGGATATAAGGCGAAGTTATATAACTTACCCTAAAATGGCAAAGCAGCAGTTTAGCTTAACTGTGTAACGACCTAACAAAGTAGTTCTCAGCAAAGATGTTGCTAACATCAGTAATCTCTGGATCATCATTATCTCCTGACTATCCACTTTTCTCCCAAGATCCCGACTCAGCTTCATCTCAATGTCACAGCCTTTCACAAGACTTCAAAGAATTTTCCGAACAGTTTAGGTCTTTACAAAAACGTGACCTCTTCATTATAATCTGCCAGCCTCACACAACTGCCCTTCCTTCCGCTATTATCCTTTTCTGAATGGTTAGGGAGACAGGCTTCACAAGTGTGTTCTGATCGCCACGGGGGAGACAGGTTTCACACGTGTGTTCTGATCGCCACGGGGGGGGGGGGGGGGAGGGGGAAGAGAGGCTTCACAGGTGTGTTCTGATCGCCGCGGTAGAAAGCCCAGGTTTTGTTCTTCCTAGAACTCTATTGCCTGGAACAGTGCCTAGCATGCTAAGAGCGCTCATTACGTGTTTTCTCTTTGTACAAATGGGTATTAGATGTACCAAGGGAACGGGTGTTAATCCTTGCTGAAATGACAAGTCTCTCTCCTTTCTGCTTCTAACCTCCAGTAAAGCAAACCTCAGCACGACATTTCTGGACTGTTTACCCAACGTTTATTCAACACCAAAGAAAGCTAATGTTTCACTTTTAATTCTCAACTTGCTACCACGTGTTTTCAACAAGAGCTGTTAAGACAGGTAATCAAGCCCCATGCGAGTCTTACTAATAAGAAAGCAAGGGAAAGTTTAATACTTAACTAGTAAGTACAGTGTGAAATTTCCAAAGCTGTCTGTTTTTTTTTTTTCCTAAGCCCCAGTTGCAATCCTTTCACCAAAGTAAATAAATAAATAAAAACCTCAAAAATACTTGCGTAAGCAGTTCTGACATCTTCGGCCCCAAATTCCAGCACAAAGGAACGTTTGGCCAGCCCTGACCCCAGAACCTTCCTCGAAACATTTTACACACACCAATCAGCCCGCAAAGAAGGGGGACCCCCCAAAGTGCTGCCCAACAGACTGCATTCCAGCGTTTCACACACCCAGCAGAAGGGACCCTCCCCCCTCACCTCCTGGCTCAAGCAAGGGCCCCCAGTCAACTCCACCATCAAAGGCCTGTACCAGGGAAGAATCTGGGGAAGGCAGGGGCCTCTCAACAAGGCCAAAATTGGAGAGCATCTCGGATGTCAGACCCTGAATCTGCCAATTCTCTGTGACCTTGGGCGTGTCGCGGAAGCCTTGGGGCTTGCGGTCTCTCACCTTTAAGGTGAAGACCACACCCTGACCACGCCACGTTAAAGGATTGAGGCCACAGGTGACGCTCCACGCTGGGCACCTGGCACGAGTGGGAGACCCACTCCCAACCCACGGTGCGGTGACTCCCCCATCCTCCCCATGCTTCAAGGCCCTTCGGATTGGGCCAGTCGCCCAGCTCTGCAGACAAATGAGCTGAGGGGTAGAGATGGGAACAGGGGGCTCGAAGGGACGGCCGAGGCATGGCCTAAAACGCCGGTCCCCCCCCGACCCACGCCCGGGGTGCAGCGCGAGGTGCCGGGAATCCGGCTCGCCCGCGGGCGCTCCACCTGCCGCCCGGCCTCCCGCCCGCGTCGCAGCACTCACTCTTCACTTTGCCGAAGGTGCCGACGCCCAGTGTGTCCCCCAGCACGTAATGTCCGATCTTCACCCTCCCATCGTGCTTCTGCTTCTCAGCCATGTTCCGTTCCGCGCACCGCCTCCCTCGGCCGCGGGCCCTCAGCGCCGCCGCCGCCGCCGCCGCCGCCGCCGCAGCCACCGCCGCCTACCCACAGTGCAGCGGGCCCGGGGGGCGGGACGGAGACGCCAGGGGCGCGGGGCGCGGTGGGGCTAGAGAAGCCGGACGCGGGTGGGACGTGGGCCTGGGTCACGGAGCCGCGGCGCCCCGAGGAAAGTTCGTAGGAGTGACGCTGGGAGGGGTGAATCTGAGCGCGGCCGAGACGGAAGGAGAACCTGAAGAGAAGTGGGGGCGCAGGGGTGCAAACAGAGAGACTTGCCTGGGGCTGGCAGGGGTGGACTCGGGTGGGCGGCCCTTCCTTACCCCCTGGGATGCGCCTCCGGTCAAGGCTTGTTTGTCTGGGGACATTCCAGTCTCCCCTCTTCAGATGGCGGCCCACTATTTTATAACTCACGCTTATTTTGTAGTTTCTAGTCGTGTTATTGTTAGGTTTCAAAACCGGGACAAACGGCGAGCCTGGGGCCGCCTATTAATGAATCAGAGGTGATGCTGGGCGCCAGGTTGTCCCGGTATCCCTCCATCCCCATCTTACAGACTCCTTCTGGCTGACATACCCCCGCCGCCTACCCTGAACTCTGCAGCCCAGAGACTGGGCTGACCTTTATCCTCGACTCCTCTGGCCCCTGTACAACTCAGACATTTTAGCCACACTGGTCCAGTCTCCTCTCTTGCTCTCCCTCCCACCTCTCCTCACATGGCCATGCTCAGTATGGCCTTGTTCATTCTGGACCCTCCCAGACGTCTCTGCCTCTGCCTGCCTCTGTCCATTTTTGTCTACAATAAACCTTTTCCACCGTTCTTAGTTAGGTTTTGCATTGGTGTGAACACACACACACACACACACACGACGAACATGCAAGTTGGGGAAGAAAGGGTTTATTCTGCTTACACTTCCACAGTAGTAAAACTGCTCATCATCGAAGTCAGGGTAGGAACTTAAACATGGCAGGAACCTAGAGGGAGGAGCTGATGCAGAGACCATGGAGGGATGCTGCTTAGTAGCTTGCTCCCCATGGCTTGCATGACTTGCTTTTTTATAGAATTCAGGACCATCAGCCCAGGGATGGTACCACCCACAATGGGCTGGGCCCTCCCCCATTAATCATTAATTAGTCATTTTCTTAATTAATTTCTTTTTTTAAAGATTTATTTATTATGTATACAACATTCTGCCTCGATGTATGCCCTGCACACCAGAGGAGGGCACCAGATCACAGTACAGATGGTTGTGAGCCACCATGTGGTTGCTTGGAATTGAACTCAGGACCTCTGGAAGAGGAGCCAGAGCTCTTAACCTCTGAGCCATCTCTCCAGCCCCCCTTAATTAATTTCTTAATTAATTAAGAAAATGCTTTACGGCTGGATCTTTATTCTCTCTGTGTGTCTGTCTCTGTCTCTCTGTGTGTTTCTCTCTCTTTCTCGTTTTTGCCATGGGTGTCAGGTCCCCTGAAACTGGAGTTACAGAAAGGTGCAAACTTCCACATGGGTTCTGGGAATTAAATTAGGATCCTCTCTCTGGAAGAGCAGTCAGTACTCTTAACCCCTGAACCCTCATGTCTCCAGCCCCTTACAACTGGATCTTATAGAGGCATTTTTCTCAGATAATTCTAGTTTGTATGTCAAGTTGACAGAAGACGAGCCCCACATACCTAGGAGCAGTCATGTCTTCTCCTTTACTTCTTTTCCTCATGCAGTTATGTAGACAATCATGTTATATAGATAAAAGACACCCTCTCCATGCAGTTATGTAGACAATCCGTTACATAGATAGAAGACACCCTCTCCAGCACTGTTGGTTTTAGCTGATTTAAACAAAATTGCCTAATAAATCACGGATACAGCCCTAACTATATTTCAGCACCGGCATGTGTGAGCACATGTTTGTATGTACATATATGTGTGTGTACATGTATGAGAGATTGGGCAAGGGAAACATAGTAAAAAGAAGTATGAAAATAAGTTACATGTTCCAGTAAACGCAAAACACAGGTAATAAAAGTATTGCGAGGAGCAAGAATGATATAAAAGCACAAACTAAAAATGTGTACTGAAGATGAAAGTGAGAGAATAGTAAGAGGAAAACAAAAGCATAATGACCAGCGTACTAGAGACATGCAAATAATTTAACATTCAAGCAATCTTTCTCTCCCTCCCTCCCCGTTCATCCTTCTCTCCTTGCTCTAATGCCCCTCATTATTTAGTGTCGACCCATCTTTCCATACTTGAAGATTATTTGCTTCCTACTACAGAAAAAGTATGAAGCTTCCTATTTACATTAGTTCCAATTAGCCATTGCCTGAACACATACACACACATATCAAAGCATTATAGATACTTGCAGTTTTGCCCATTAAAAAAAAATAATTTTAAAACACACAGAAAAAGGATTATTTGCTATTTGGGGATAAGTTATTAAAGGCTAGTCAAACATTTGTGACTCTGTGCGTGCCAACAGAATTCCGTGATCACATTCCTCAAACATGAAATCTCAAGTCAGACTGTTTATATGTAAACAGTGAGCTAAGAAATGTGTCTAACAAAGCTTGGTGGTCAAATAACTACTAAACATACAACTGACAAACTCGTCCTCGCGTGTACACCGCGGTAATCTGATGAGAGATGATCTCAGCTTATCAATTATAGACATCACAGCTGTTGAACACAAGCTATTTTTGTTCATTCTTCAGATCACCTTTCTTGCTGACAAGAGATCTCACTTAAGCATCTCAACCTAGCTGGCAAATTGTAGAGAGCTTCCCAGCTATTTTTACGGCTGAACTTTTAACCACTTCAAGGCCATTCCGTCACTAGACATTCAAGTGGGTGAGACCAGATGGCTGCTGTGCTTTCTAGAGTCACATTTGTATGTCTGTGTTGCCCCAATAACCCAGTAATGCTGTTGAAGAGTCTTTAAATGGTGAAACTCCATGGAGAAAAGCTACAAACGGAGGTCTTCAAGCACATTGCAGTAGCTATTCGCCAATTAAAATGTCATTGTTATGAAACCAACCTCAGAGTTTTATGGTAAACATAAATAATACTTTCTTGTTCGAGAAGTTAATTTAGGCACAATTATTTGCCATCAGGGGACGTTATTGTCCCCCCCGTTTTATAGATGTTGAAAACTCAGCTCCCCCCTCCCAAGGCTACAAAGCTAGAGGCAGAGCAGCAGGCTCAGATCAAATTCCAACTTGTCCTCTTCCTTGGGTTTCCTCACAGCTGAAATCATGCGGTACTCTGAGAGCAACGCATTCACAGCCAGAAGCCTGTTCTCACGTTTTTATTTCGAGAGCAGCCCCGTTTTCAAGCCTGTGGGCACTTTATTAGTGGGGAAACGGAATGCTACATAGGTGAGACAAACAGAAACGTCTCTAAGGTCAGCACCAATTTCTGTTGCGCTCTGACCTTCATTTATGAGTCCGTGTTTGCTGCACCCCCTCAGCAACACAAAGCTCTCTATAGAGGTGGCTCTGTAAATGTTTCTATCGGCTTGTACCCCGAGGAGATCTACCGAAGAATATTGCAAATGCAATATATGCTCTTTTGTTATCTTGCAGCTGATGTTTTAGGGTTGTTATTGTTTAGCACCAGTAGCTAAGATTCCTATCCCAGGAAACTACTCTGTTCTGATCATTGCTCTAACTATTGCTGCCTTTACTCCCTACAACTGGACTTTTTTTAATTAATTAATTTATTTATTAAAATTTTCCACCTCCTTCCATTTCCCTCCCCCCACTCCTCTCCCCCTCCCTCTCCAGTCCTAAGAACAGTCAGGGTTCCCTGCCCTGTGGGAAGTCCAAGGTCCTCCCCCCTCCATCCAGGTCTAGGAAGGTGAGCATCCCAACAGACTAGGCTCCCACAAAGCCAGTACATGCAGTAGAATCAAAACCCGGTGTCATTATCATTGGCTTCTCAGTCTGCCCTCATTGTCAGCCACGTTCAGAGAGTCCGGTTTGATCACATGCTCCATCAGTCACAGTCCAGCTGGCCTTGGTGAGCTCCCATTAGATCAGTCCCATACGATTGGACCTTTGCTGTTATTTGCCTTCAAATATTCTAAAGTAGAACCTGAATGGGTGACAGGAATACTACTAGAGCAGTGGTTCCCAACCTTCCTAATGCAGCGACCCTTTAATACAGATCCTCATGGTGCGGTCATCCCCCAGCCATAAAATTATTTTCGTTGCTACTTCATAACTGTAATTTTGCTACTGTTATCAATCATAATGTAAATATCCATGTTTTCCGATGGTCTTAGGCAACCCCTGTGGAAGGGCCATTTGACCCCCAAAGAGGTTGTGGTTCTCAGGGTAGGAGCTGCTGTGCTAAACTAAGGTACGACAATAGATCTCACTGATGTCATAAGAGACAGCAAGCCTCTCCAAGTTCAGGAAATTTTTAAAAATATACTAACTATCCAACATACATCTATAATACTCATATTTTACATTTTTGTCTGTATTATCTTTATTTCTTCATGTTTTGTAATTTCTTAGTAAAAAGACTGGATAATTCTACCCTTAAACATGATTGACCACACGGGTGTGTGGGTGGATATGTGCACTTGTGCATGGGTGTATGCCAGGGATAATCTTTTGGTTCACTGTGAAGATGTATCTCTGCTAAAGCACCTTCTGATTGGGTTAATAAAGAGCTAAACAGCAAATAGCAGGAGTTAGGACTTCCGGAGGGAAAGAGAGAGGAACTGCTCTGAGTTAGAATCTGGCAGGGTAGATGCCAGGGAGACACTGAAGAAGTCAGAAGTACAGTGTGGAGAAGAGGGAATGAGCCACATGGCAGAACATTGTTAACAGAAACAGGTTAATTTAAGTTATGAAAGCTCGTTGGGAACAAGCGTAAGCTAAAGGCCAAACTTTCATAATTAATAATAAGTCTCTGTGTCAGTATTTGGGAACAGGCAGCCCAAAGTAAGGCTGACAAGAATGTGAAGACCGAGACCTGTAGGCCCATTTTCACCACTGTCTGAAGGTCAGAGATTTTGGGAGACTAACAGGCTTAATTGCACCTTCTAACTCAGGAG